GGCACTGAAAAGAACTCCCCTTCATTCTACTACCAAGCAATACTAATATGCAGCCAAGCTTGCACCCCAACCCCCATCCCTACCTTTTAACTGCCACAGAGAACTTACCATAACCACACTCCCAAGAGCCCGTGCTGGAGGACAGGTCTGTTTGTCAGAGCCTGCAGGATTTTATCCCGCCACTTCTCTCCCTGAAATAGCCCATACTCTCTACAACATCCAGTTCCAATAAGGGATTTGGAGGGTCCCAAGTTGCAGTGTATTGGCTTGAGAAACTGGCTGTCTACCCATTGGATGGCTTGAAACCCTGAAGCCTTGCATGGCCAGGCCAGACCTCCATCAGAAGCCACCAATAATATAGACACTAGCTCTCTGTGCCAATTAAAGGACAGCAAACTTAGCTTCAGTCTGGCATTGCCTGGCAGCATTGTGAAGGTGAGTCCTTCCTTCCACTGCTGGAGTTGTCTCAGTCTCCATTTCCCATGCTCTGAGCCAAGAATCCATATGATCCACTTAACATCATATCCTTCAGGAGAGCAAGTTAGGTTTCTGATACATCTCCCTTGGCTGTTATTATACATGTGGAAGTGATACCATGATCATCTTCTCCATCCATTCATCCATTCATTCAACATTTATAATAAGATGATGCACCTGACCAAACACTGGGAGACAGTGAGTTGTTTTTCTAATTGTGGAAATGGACTGCACTTAGGTATTCACACTCTCCTTCAAAGTTTTTGCAAGGGCAGAGTTTGGTGATTGCCTAAGGCCATGAATGTAGTCTGTGGTTAGGTAACAAAGTCTTCCCTTGGTGCAAATCAAATCAGTCGGTAAAAAGAGCAAACCTACCACGTGGGTCTCATTATCACTGGGTTTTGATTAACCATGCTGGTCATTCTAATTATCTAAATCTCAACTAGGCCCTCACTGCAGCAAAGCAATTCTTTCATGCCTTCTTAATTAAATTTCTCTCACAATCCCCATGGCATCTTCTTTCTCTGAAATTTGCTGACTGTTTTCTTTTCAAGCTTCCCACACCACCCCCTCCCACTGCCTTCTCAGAACAGGATCTTACCTTATACATTACTGAGAAAATAGATACCATTTGCCGTAAGTCTCCTCTTTTCTCCTTCTCTACATCTCAAGACCCTTTGACATCATCCACTGCTGTCTCCTGCTTTACTCTAGTCTCTGATGAAGAGGTAGCCCTTCTCCACCCCAAGGCACCTGTGCTTACCTTGATCCTATTCCCTCCTATTCCCTTTGGCAGACTACCACCAACCCTTCCCTCCAATCATCTCTTCTATTTCTGTAATCTTTAAAGTCATCATGCCTTTGTGGAAATAGGCGCTCCATCCTCTTCCATGTGAGAATTCCCCCTACACGACCATGACACATATTTTTGTAGAGATCATCACCACCACCCAATCAACAGATATTTGAGTTCAAAGTCATCCTTGACCTTTTTTCACTCTTCCTACTCTTCCTCATTTCAAAAATCCAGTCAATTGCTGTGACTTGTTTATTCTATCTCCAAAATATCTCTTGTATTTATCCCTTTATCTCTATCTAGATGACCATCATCCTAATTCAGTCCCAAAGCACCTCTTATCTAGATTACTGAGACTCCTAAAGAGACTTCCCTCTTCAATCCACCATCCACACAGCTGCAAGTTATTTTCCAAAAATATAGGCCTGACCGTATTACTGCTCTGCTTAATAAATCCACTGGCTCCCTAGCACCTCTACATTACACACACACTCCTCTGCCTGACATTTAAAGTCCTTCACAACCTTGTCCAATCCACTTTTTCAGTTATATTATTTATCATTACTTTTTACTCACTCTTTAATCCAGCCAAACTCTTCTTGCTGTTCTTCACACAAAACACTCCATTTCCCACGTCCTCGCCAAGAAAGCACTCCCTTTTCACCTCTGCCTCTTAAAATCCCCAATTTCCTTCTAACCCCAGCTCACAAGTCACCTCCTAAATTAGGCCTTTACTGATCTCTCAGATGCAACTGCATCCCTTGACAAAATACCTCGAGTTTATTTTGTATGTGCTTATATATGTGTGTTATATAACATAATATATACAGTTCAGTGAATGTTTTTTGTTTCTGTCAAAATATCCTTAGCACAGAGCCTGACATATAGGTATTTAACAAATATTTGTTGATTGATACCCTCTCAGCAGAACTGGAGCTCATACCCTAGGTGAGCTTCACTAAATACATCCTCAGAACAGCGCGTTAAAGACAAATTCAGTGGGAGGAGGGGCAGAAAGAGAAAGAGACCTCAGAATGCACCAAAGCAGATTCACTATAGGGGGAGCTTACCTGATAGAAACTGTGTTTCAGCAGCTGAGGCAAGTCTTAGGGAAAATGGAGGAGGCAGCCAACAGCCATGTTTCACTATTATATGTCTTCCTAATTGTTCTGCATAATTATTTCCTAAGATCTATTGTTTCTTTGGCGATAAAGAAGTATAAATGCTACTAGTGTCTTCTAAAGTTTTGTGTCTTGGTGCAAAAGACTAGTCACATCACCCTAGTTACACCTCTACCTCTCAATGATTTGTTCCTTTGGATGTAAAGATAGCCTTGCCATACTAACTTTGCACATTGCTGTTTGCCAGCAGTCTCAATCCTGATTAAAAAAAAAAGTCTGGCTTTGAGCATGAAATTCTCTTATAAGAGCCAAAGCCAGATTTAGTTGTCAGGAAGAATACTTTGGATTAATATAGTACTTCACTTACAAAAATTTTACATAAATAACCCTTTCTTCTTATATCACTACATAGTAAGAAAAAAACAGGTATAGCCACCAACCTCCGATGTTCTTGCCTAACAGGGCAATTTGGCATTTATACCCAGACACTGTGAGCTGTGCAGAAAGAGAAAAAAGGTGCTGCCTCTGGGTAGGAAAAGGAGCAGGAGTCAACAGAGGCCTTCTGCCCTGTGGCCTGGTGACCTGACTATGAGTCCTACCAACTGTATAAAGGTTCCCCCCGACTTCAATGGCTGCCTCTACTCAGGAAGTCCTGGTAGTGTTGGACTCCAGATACCACCCCCTCCTGTGGGGTACAGGGTTCAAGGAATTGCTGAGAATAGAATTTTGCCAAATTTTGCTTGAGGGCCAGAATTGAAACTCACACCCACTGGATCCTTGCCGGCTTGCTGCTTCCCTGTCTGAAGCATTGTGGCCCAAGACACTTCACAGACCTTGTGGTTGGGGAAACTAAAAATTATTTCCAAGTCTGCTCCCTGAGCTGAAGTTGTGGAATGCAGCTAACTGGGCAAAGAACGACATACAAGGGATGGCCTTCTTTCTCCCCATCCCATTTGCCTTTGCTCTTCCCTTACCCAGCATTGAAACAATGGCGCTGGCTGCCCACAGTCCGAATCATGGCAGCCAGGAGCTATGGCCCTTAGAAGCAAGGCCCTTACTGTCTCTGGTGGGTTTTTTTTGGGGGGGGTATGAGAGTGGGAGCTGGGGGAACAGGCTGTGAAGCACAGCTGGTTCTCATTCTCCTACCTAATTTCCTCTGTAAGAAAAACAAACCCACTCAGGCCTGAGATGTCCTCTTTGATTTTTTTTTTCCATTCTCTGCCTCAGCTGCTGAAACACAGTTTCTATCAAATCTAGGAACATGCTAAGGGTGTGGCTAAGTGTGACCATGGCCGCAGGCTAGAATGTGTTGAAGTAGCAGTAGTACAGAGGATCCAAAAGTTGGTTTGGTTTGAATATACATGCCTGCAAACCTCCACCCCCCATTTTGCCTTCCTAATTACATGTGTTTGTGGCTGCTTTTCAAGTCAGTTGGATTCTTCCTAAGCATACACTGACTTCCTGAGGAGGGGTAGATGTGGATATCAGAGGAGGGAGAGGATATTTTGAGGGCTAGAAGAATTCAAGCTGAGATTTTTAAAAATATGATGCCTCTAAAATCCTGGCCACTTGAATGATTCAGTGGAAATGCTGACTCTGGCAATAAAGCCCAGATGTAGGCTAAACACATTCCTCTATTTGTGTGCCACCAGTTTCTTTCTGATCCAGTATGCCACCAAGGTACACACTCTAGAACCATAGGTAATGTCACCCAAGACTTGGCAAGCAATTCCTTAGGGAACTAAAAAGCCATTCCTCATATTCTTGTCCTTACGCATTTTTATTGCCCAGTTAATTGTGAATACTCCAATCTTAATGTTTACAATTCAATGCCTTGGTTTTCTCTCTATGGAGGGTCTTAGAAGTTCCCTTTCCCACTAAATGGAGGTAAGCTAGCAAGAAGGTCAGCCCGGGAAGTTAATGAAATCCATATGATATAATGGACTTAGTCTCAGAAAACTTGGATCCAAGTCCTAGCTTCAAAGCTTTCTATTTCTGTGACCAAGGGTAAATCACATAAGCTCTCTGAGACTTAGTTTCTTCATCTCTAAAATTAACACACTTGCTCTTTCTCCCTAACTCCCCGAGTTGTGTTGAGGAAGCCTTACTATATAGATGTGAATTGTTGTTGTTGTTGTTGTTATTATTATTATTATTAAGACCAGGATGCCTGGGTGCCAGGCCCTCACAATTTGCTTCTTTTTACAACACCCAAGGAGGCTTCGCTTTGATGAGGTTCTCAATTCACCAGAAGTGTTTTCATTCTTGTCCAGTCAGAAAAGGCTCCAAGGAATCCCTCTCCTCACTCCCCTTGCTCCCCTCCCCCGAAGACAAGAGACAGTGCCCAAGGGGGCGGTCGGGTGTCTTCTGCTGTTGGGCAGCCCCTGAGCAACCCACACCGAGCGAGGGCATTGGGGGGCGGCTGTCGCTGGTCACCGAAGAGCAAAGTCACCTCCGTCCCCCTTCCCCAGTGTACGGGTATGACATCACGGTCGGGGGGCGGGGGGCAGGAGGGCGAGGGAGGGGCCTGCCCCAGACTTTATTTGCCTATACATCACTTCCTAGCCGCTGCTGCCATCGTTCTAGCTCGCTATCCGTCTGCTGGCCGCGGGAGACTGACTGCCAGGGCGCAGCTCCCCGCTAGCCTTGCTCCCTCGGACTGCCTCTCTGGGGTTTGGTCGCCGTTTCATGCTGCCGCCGCCGACTGAGTGCTCGCGCCCCAAAGGGACTGTCTCTTCTCGGTAATTCATGGCTTGTCTGACCAGTGATGAGGTCCAGAATTCAGCCACCAAGAGACTTTATTCCAGGTAAGGACTCCTTCGCCGGCTCCCTGCCAGACTTTCTGCTTCCCCGCCCCCCACCCACGGTCACCCAGGCCAACAGCAACTTGGGTAGCCCTCCTGGGGCGCCCCCTCTTCCAGCCTCAACTGACCAACTTTCTCTGTGCACAAGTGAGGCTCGGCGGTGCCCCCATCTAGCCCCACGCTCTCCTTCGGCCCGCCCTGCCCTACCTTCCCCTCCCCAGTGCAGGGTGCCCGAGTCTCCTCTTCGAAAAAGAAAGGCGCTTTCGCACGTGTGCTTAGCTCTCCCTCGCCCCTCGGGGTGAAGCGGGCGGGAGATCGGGGGACGGAAGACAAAGCAAAACCAGGCTAGCTGGGCGGCCGCCGTTGGGCTGCGGGCTGTGTTGTGCCTGCCTGTGCCTCGCTTGCTTGTGCCGGATGGGTCTGAGCCGGGGAACACAACAGGCTCCCCCACAGCCTACCTTTGCTGCAGCCGTAGGGGAAGCGGTCAGATCTGCTGGGCTGGGGCTGGCGCGCCCACTCCTAGGCTAGTTGCAGGAAAAGCATCCCCCCTCCCACCTTGAGCTATTGTTGTCGATGAGCTCCGGAGCTTTGTCCCCCAGGCTGCAGTCACCCGGAGCTCTCATTCTTACACCTGCCCGCTGGAAACCCTCCATAGGCCAGGCCAGGCACAGCACTCCTCTGCCTTCAGTCTGGGCTGGGGCTGCATTTTTTCCGACTTGCAGGAGGGTGGGAGGATCAGAGCGCGAGAGGGCAGTGGTGGGCTGAGTTGGGGTTGTCACAGATGGAAATGGCCTAGGACCCTCGCCCTGAGGATCCAGCCCATGGCGGGTCAGCCAACAGCTCGTTGGCAGAGCAGGTTTGATGGCCCACCAGGAGAGAAGCCTTTGTCATTCAGCCCCAGTCCGCTGACAGACATCACTTCCCAGTCCACGCTTTGCTTGGGGCATATAGTTCTCTTCTTACTGAAGTGCAGACCTTGAAATTGGCTGCTAAAGCAGACTGGAGGGATTGTCCAGTCTGGTTTCTAACTGGCTGCTAGTTTTATTGGCCCCTGGGAACTAAATGGACAAGAGAGACAGGTATTTCAGTTCAAATGATCAAGACAAGCAAAGGGCCCAAAACAGCCCTACTTCGGAACAGAGACACCTCTCAATTTTCCTCCAAGAATTGTCCAGTCCTCCCACCTACCTCCCACCCCCACCCCCATGGTGTGGCTCTAAGGAAAAGACCTGGCCAGACATGTGGAGGGGTGCACCCACGTGACTAAGTTGGTGCCTCTGGCTGCATTATGAAGGCAAATAGAAAAAAAAAATTAGCACCCAGTGGGATTATGCATATACCACTTTATTTCATGGTAATTGAGAGATGACTGTATGATCTGCATTTATGCATATGTATGTATGCACATGTGTATATGTACTGTGCTGCATCATCCAGGTTGTAATTAAGGAGACTGCTTGCCATGCCACAGAAACAAGATTTCTCCCAGCCAATTAATAGCCTCTCTACCTCCTTATAATCATGGCTGAAAATCTATGCTAACACACTAGGCCTGCCACCCCAATGTGTCCTGCAGTGAAGCATATGGACTATCCATAAAGGACTGCAATGAAACCATCAGGCCATTGTTATTACTCACAATCACCCAAACTACATTTTTTTTAGTTAAAAAAAAGTTACTTTTAAGATTACCTTGTCTCCAGTAATTGGTCAGAGCTGGGCAAAAAGAAGTGTACGTGCTAGCTGACTGGCCAGGACAGAGCTAGTGATGAGAGTTTGGGGAGATTTGCAGCCTCATAGAGATGGGGTTCAGGCCCTTAATAAGTGAAGATTATGTGACAGCAAGTCGGAGAATCAGATGATGCTGTTTTCTTTGCTATTGCATGGCAGGGAGGGGCATGTGTCTAATCATAAACTGGAATAGCAATTGGGAATAGAAAGAGGGGATGAATTGAAAGGTAGACTTGAACTTGGCAATTGATTGCATGTGAGCATGATAGAGGAAAGAGTCTAAGACAACTTAAGATCTTAGATTTACAGCTGGAAGGGGCTTTAGAGTCATCTAGCTTAGAGGTTTAAAATTCCCCAGATTAAAATATAATTGTGAAATGTTTAACAAAATAAAAATACAATATAGATGGTGCTAATTAGTGGTTTTCTAAGTCAAAATGTGGCCTGTAGGGATGCATTTCTATTTGTGTTTGATATTTGGTACTACTGATTTAGCCCTCCACCTCATTTGTACAGATAAGGGAAACTGAGGCCGAAAGCAGGAAAGTAAATTGCCCACAGTCACATAGGTAATAAAGAACCTAAGTTTAAAACTGTCACCTTTTCAGCTGTATCAGACAACATAGTAGATGGGAGAGGGGAAACACTTTATGTAGAGTTAGAGGAGATTTGAGTTCAAATCCCAGCTTTGCTGTTTACTACTTGGATGACTATGGGCCAGTCACTTACACTTTCTGGGCTTCAGTTTCCCATCTACAAAAATTAAACAAGTTTGTCTGGGTCAGGGGTTCTTACTTAACCTGGGATCTGTGAACTTGTTTCAAAAAAATTTTTAATAACTATGTCAGTATGGTAGCTTCCTTGTAATCCTGCGAATTGTGTTTTATACTTTTAAAACCAATATTCTGAGAAGGAGTCTATGGGCTTCACCAGACTGCCAACAGAGTCTGAGACATGAAAAAAGGTTAAGAATCCTCATATTAAATGATCCTGTGATATCTAAGGTCACTCTGAGCTCTGAGTATTGTGACTCATGATTTCAAGTATGGGTAATTGTGAGCATGGTTATGCCAGCAATAGAAATGAAAGAATTAAGGGGGAAAGTAGGGCTTGGGAAAGATTAGGACAATGTGACATTTTTCCATTTTTCAAGGGTAACAATTGACTCACCATCAGTTGGACCTAGTGTAATTGGGATTCCCAATTATGGATATAAGCTGCATTGAATCATTCTTGGTGTTTTGTTTGGACACCGAGTCACCAGTAATGCATGTTGACAGGGTTAGGATCTCAATCCCATATAGGCTAAGGAACAGGGCCAAGTTAAGTGGGCCATTTGGGGATTCAGTCTACAACTACGAGCCCATCAGTGTCACACTCTAATCAACTAAGTCACACAGCCAATGAACAAGTGACCCAGAGAACTTTTACATATGGGAAAGTGTGCTTTTTGTCAGGGCAGATGTAACCATCTATATTCAATAATGGCTCTAGATTGGTGAAAAGGAACTCAACCATGAAACAGAAGCCAAACAGCTGAAACTCCATCTAAACAACCGGTTTACAGATTGTCAGTCCAGAGAACCCTAACCTCTCTCTGACCCTGCTGCTTGCTACCTGAGCTTCAATGGTAGAAAAGAAAGTGAAACCTTGACCATTTTTTCATGTGATCAGTATGTTATAGGTTATGGTAAGGAGCATAATAGTCATTGCCAACATTCCTACACCCAAGGGCAGGACTTTTCCAGGAATTAGCCCTTTACCAAAATGAAGAAACACTCAGATAGCAGTTCCCAGCTAGGACCAGGGACAAAGAAACCCAGAATTGGTTTCATTAGGGCAAATAGACAAAAAGCACAGGTCAAGGTTCAATTTGGACCTTGGTTCTCTATAGAGAACTGGCCATCCAGTGATGGATGCAGTCTGGAATACCATTGTGGTTCAACTGAAACCCATACCTGGTCGACTTAGGGAGCAAGATGAGAATGAAATCAGCTTAAGGGAGCTGTATCTTCCACTCCGTCTGATCAGGAGAGAAAGGGCAAGCAGAAAGTATTGCAGTACACGGAGAAAAGCCCTGAACTCCGAGCTGGAGACCTAGATCCAAATCCTGACTTTGAGACTACTGGTGCACTATGTTATGTGACCCTGGGCACTTAATTTTCTGAGGTCTTTGTTGCCTCAGCTATAAAACAAGGATAATATCTGTCTTACTTATAAAAGTCCTCATAGAGTACAACAGTATATGTCGCAGCACTTTAATGAGGAGGAAAAAAGTGTTATAGAAATAGTGTTCTTACAGAATCCAGACAAACCTGGATATATATGTATGTATGTACATATATGTACACATATGCATACAATCTATGTATACTTGTGTGTATTTTTCCAGGTTTCTCTACATACATACATATTTATCTACAAACATATGTACCTCTATCTACATACATATGTACTTCTCTATCTGGGGCAGTGAGGTGGCATGATAGATAGAGTGCTGGGCCTGGTCTCAGGAAGACCTGAGTTCAAATACAGCTTCAGACACTTACTAGCTGTGTGATCCTGGGCAAGTCACTTAACCCTGTTTGCCTCAGTTTCCTCATTTGTAAAATGAGCTAGAGAAGGAAATGGCAAACCACTGCAATATCTTTGCCAAGAAAACTCCAAATGGTGGTTATGAAGAGTCAGACATAACTGAACAAGATCTATCCATCTCTCTGATGGGCTCCCAAGATCATCCTTAAGCTTCACAAGACTTTGCCCTTCTATTCTACAGTCTTGACATGTGGTATTTATATCACTACAGGGTGTTGCTAAAGTTGTTTCTTTGTGTTTGTCTTCCCATTTGAAGAGTAAATTCCCTGAATTTTATAGAATGTGAACTCTTTGAGGGCAGGAATTGTTGTATTTTTGTATTTGTATCTCTAGCATTTAATACAGTGCCTGGCACACAGTAGATGCTTAGTAAATAAATATTTGTTGATTACTTGGTTAAAGGTATGACCCCACATTTCCTTCTCAGGATGTCTAATGTTGGCATCTTTTACTTTATAGAACAAATGGGTACATCTCCAAAAAGCTACCTGCAAGGCCAATTTTTGTCCTGTGTCCATTATGAAATTAAGAATTGTTATCTTAGTAGAAAGATAGGGAGAGAATTTGGTTCCTAAGGTAGCATGAAAGCGCACAGCAAAGATTTTCAAATCCCATTGGAGGAGGCAGGGAATGATAATTTTCTGATTAAATAATTAGTCTGAATACTCCAAACAAAA